ACCCTTTTCCTGTTCTACCATTTCAACAATTTTGCTAGCTGACAAGAAATTCATCTCATTCTGTGCATAAAATTTACTTCCTAGTGTAGTCTTACTATTTCTAATACAGTCAATTTGTCTCCAAATCATATAATCAATAGCATGAGATATTGTTGGTAATTGATAAATTCTACAATCAAAATTACCAAATATATCTCCATCCAATAATTTTTGACGAACAAGTCTTCTTTTTTCAAAATCTTCAGTTTGATAAGATTTCTTTGAAATATTAGAATTATGCATGTCATATTCCAATCTACTTTCAAAGCTATCTGCATTTGCTCGTAATAGTTTCCTCAAATAATAATTAAAAGTTATGGTCAGAAAACTTGTTGAAATGCTAACTAATTTTTGAGCACGACCTCTGTAAATTCCATTTGGCACTTTTTGTTTTTCGTTATTACTTGTTTGCCCTGAGAACAATAATGTTAATTCATCTGAACAGTTGTAAATCAATGTTGGATTCATACTCAAATTTTTAAGACACAAGTCTCTCACTGCAAGAAGAAGAGCCCAATGAATATTAGCATCAAAAGGCTTTTCGAAAATGTCTCCATTAGTTGTAAAAGATTTAAAATGAAAGCCATCAAAACGCATAACGATTGGTTGTTGGTCTGCAATATCAAAGTTAACCTTGCTATCATATTGTCCTTCAAATAGTTTCATTCTAGCAACCACTTCATCAAAATTTTGATTAACAGCCTCCATTCTTTCGTGTACAATCTTGTCATTTGTGTTGTTGGTTTTATGAAAGCAACGGAAAGAGAAAGAAGGTATTGTGCCATAGAATTTTCTTCCTTTGCTCATGATGGAAGAACAGAACAATTTGTGTTGAAGCATTTTTTTGAGATGCTTCTTACTTTCAATCAATTAAAACATTAATTTTATTGATGACACTAGCAATTTCCACAATATTTTGCATCGGAATTAATATTAATAAAATTAAACTTGTAATTTTCTATAATACTAACATTCATTCGCTAGTTTTGAACATGTATTCAGTAGGTGCTTTCACCAACATCAATATTTAAAAATTAAAAAAAATGATCACCCAAAGCCAATATAAAAAAAATGTATGAAGACCTACAAAATGATCTTGTTACACCTTTTACACCATTTTCCTGTTGCTTTGAAAGCCAGGAAGGTACTCTAAACGTAGCTGGTCATGTTGTAGAGTTTAAAAGTAAATATAGTGATAGAAAATTTGATATCCCAACCGACCGAATTCGTGTATTTAAAAGTAAAAAAGAGCCAAAATTAAAACTTGATAAACAGCCCAAGGAAGAGGAAGGAAAGGCAACAGAAAAGAATACAGAAAGTTTTTTGCTAACATTCACAAATCCGGACGATTGCGAAAAATGTAAAGAGTTGATCGCAACATATATGACAAGAGCAGAGAAGAGAAAAAAACAATCTCACGAAGGAAATAAGCAACTAAAACTACTTGCTAGTGATGCCTTCCTAAAGAAGGTTTATGATGAAATGGTTGGTGGAGGAATTATAAAGAAAGAAGAATTTTGGGCTCAAAGAAAGTATTTAATATCCTCATCAGCCTTGACAGCATCTGATAGTGGAAAAGGTGGACCTATCATTAAGGAACAACGAGAAGGTTTGAAAAATTACCTTTTTTGTTCTGATGATCATTTTGTTTCAAGTGTAAGAACTGATCAAGAAACTACAATTACCCTTTCCAAACGAAAAGTCCAACAAATTTTTACGGAACACCCTGGTGTTTACCAATATTATAAGAAAGTGGTTCCTACACAAATGAACGAAAAAGAGTTTTGGGCCAAGTTTATGAAATCATATTTTTTTAGAACACTTGATCCAGTGCATAGTGCTATGGGAAATACCACTTCTTCTTATTCAAAAACTGATGTGGATGATCCATTAGAACATTACGAACGAGAAATGAATAAGGAGTTTGATGAAAAAGCAAAAAATACCCGAGTCAACCCTCTTGTTAATATTGCAGCAGAGGATATAAGAGAAGGTTACGGAATAAGACAAGATGAGTTGATTCAACCATCTAAACTAGCGGGATTCCCTGAATCTCTTAAAAATTTGAATAGAAAATCTTCTAGAATAACCCAGTATGCTTTTATTAATGAAAAACCAGGAGAGCAAAGTAGTGCTCCTTCTAAAGAAGTAATTGATGAAGAAAAAGTTCTAAATGAGGAAAGGGAAAAAATTAAGGAAATGTTGGAGTATGAAGATTTGAAAGATGAAGCTAATGTGGAATATATACCTTTGAAAATACAAGACAAGAATAGATATTTTGAGGGTTTATTAAATGAGCAATCAGCACCAACTGCTGGTACAATCTCCAAAAAGGTAACCTCCTACCCTCTACGAGAAATGAGAAAAGCTTTTAATGAAGAGCTTGCTCACTTGAAACAAAATCTTGATCTTGGATCAGCTGTAATAGATCCAAAATTAGCAACACAGATATATAGGGAAATAAGTAACCAAATAATACAAAGTGGAGATCGTGATGATAAAAATACAAGTGGAAATCTTAGTAAAATAGATGTGGAGCACAGATTTAGAGAGGTTTTCGAGCTTGTACACGAACTATTGAGACATTTATGGTCTCTCTTATCATTAACTAAAAACGAATGGAAGTCACACCATACTGAAAAATCCGAAAAGATTATCCAAAAGTTGAATGAAAAAAAGGAAATTCTTAAAACTTTAGGCACTGCACAAACCAATCAATGGGTGAAATCACTTTCTGAATCGATTCAAATTGCTTTGGAACATTTTAGTAGAATGAAACAAGGAAACCCAAATATTAGTCTACCTCAAACTCCAACTTCTCAATTCCGTACTGTGGAAGTAACTAAACCAGCAACACCTCAACAAAATCCTCAAACACCAGCAACACCTCAAACCAACAAACCAACAATTTCTGTAAACTTGACCAACAAACCAACCACACCCATGACTAAGATAAACATTCCGACACTTTCAAGAACACCCATGACAAACACACCATCCACACCTTCTGTTAGATTCTCCTTGCCTTCCAAAAAGGGAATTCAAACACCATCCACACCATCTAGCAGTGAACCAAGCAACGAACCAGCACAAAAGAAAATAAAAATGGACTAAGTTATTGATCTACTTTATTCGTATTTAATAAATTCATCTTGGCCTAACTTAACAGACGAGCCAATAAAGAAAACTCTATTTAAAGTTGTTGATGACCTCCTCTAAGTTTTTCCTCTCTGTATCTTCTACAATCTCTAATAACAATTAAAATGAAAGGAATTAAGAATACAAGAATGCAAAAAATGATAGCTGCAAAGATGATAAACATGGTAATTTCAGTTTCTGATGTAGGTGGTGTCAATGAAGTAGGAGCAAAGGAAGCTTCCAATACGTCAACTCCACTGTCAGGAGCTCCACTTGAATAAATCCAATGATCACAAGTACCATTTGATGTCCAATGAACAGGTCCATTCAAGAAAAAGTTTCTACCATTTGCACACAAATCACATTCTGCATTATTCAAACCTTGGACAATTTCACAACTAGTGTAGTTAGCAATCAGAACGGAAACTTGAGAATTGTAAGTGACATCACCTTTGAAAGTAGCAATAAGCTTGTTGACATTACAATCAACAACACCACTCTCCTTCAAATAAACAACCTGAGTCAAAATAAATTTCTTTGAATCCTTTTCAACAACAAAGAAGACGTCTTCCTTAGCTTGACTTCCAAAGTAGTTTCTATTGTTTGTTGAGAGCCAATAGTAAGATCCGGTAGCATGAGGACCACGCAAGTCGCAAGATGTGGAAGGATCAACAGCTGGTAGGAAAGTGAGTGCCTTCTTGTAGAATGCTGTGAAACCAGTTAATGTTAAATCTTCACACTCATCACCAAACGTAATTTTCAATGTTTGAGAGGCAAACATTGCCTTGAATTTAGAACAGATAGCAGTGATATCATCGGCATAGTTATTGTTCAATACTACAGTACAAGTCAATGATGACATGGTGAAATTTTCAGAAATAGCATAACTTCCGTGCAAATCAACACCAACAATTGGTGTTGTGTAACCCAAAGCAGGTCCTTTCTTTTCAACAACTTTTAAGTGTACAGCACCACGATTAACATTGGTTGCGCTAAAAGCTTGTAATTTCATGTGAATGTCAACTTGGAGGTTAGCTCCTGTACGTGGAGTAACTTGCCACCAGGTTTCGTCATGAGAAAGACAAAGTTGTTCATTATCTGATTGTTGAATAGATGATTGTACTAAAAACAATATCATCATGATGAAAAGCACCACGTGTACCCTGGACGTTGCCATTTCTTCTTAGATCTTGTGAAAAAAGAATTCCGTATGAAGAGAGTTATGTTGGATAACAGTTGTGAAACCTACTTCCAATGTGTTTTGGTTGAGAGAACTTTGTATTTTTTTTTTAATTAATTTCTTTATTCAATAAAGCCAACAGTCCCAGAAATGGTCAACAGATATCAGAAAAAATAATTGTTCTAAAACCATTATTCTTGATATTATTCCATTTTATTTCCATTTTATTTTCAATGTTAGACAACATTTGGTGAATTTGGTGAATTAGGTGAGCTTAGTCTAATTAAATTTGCTTTAGAATTCTTTCTGTGGGATGCATAGAATAAAAAATCAATATCTGGGTCACTTCTTGGTGACTCAGTTCCAGAATTGTTTGGAGAATCATCATCAATGTTCAAGTCAAGTTTTGACATTGAACCTATACTAAGGGAGCTCATTGCAAAGTCTTCAAATCTTATTTTGGAATGTAATTCTTGGTGGATATTGTAAACATAACCTTTAGCCCTTCTCTTTCTCTTAATGATTATTACTGTTGCAACAATTACTATTACAATAACAAAAACAATCGAGAATCTTCTGGTATTTGAGGCTCAGTAAGAGAACAATTGCTTCCATAATAAGGTGATTCACAAATACATTGGTTTGGGGAGACACATTTTCCATGTCCATTACAAACAGCTATATTGGCGGATTCAACTTCAAAACAAACAGGAATTTCACATTGAGAGCCTGTAAATTCAGTTTGATTACATTTACATGTATTAGGGCTCTCACAAATTCCTTTTCCATTACAAACTGTTGGATCAGTGCTAAATTTTTGATAACAAATAGAAAGTTCACAATCTTGACCGGAATAGCCATTTGTACAAACGCACTTATCTGGTGAAACACAATTTCCTCTTGAGTGACAAACGTTTGGATCGTTGTTTGTTTAGTTAAAGCAAACAGGATATTGACAATGGGTACCACTATACCCATTATTACAAGTACAATCGTCAATGTTTTGGCAATAACCATTACCGTTGCACATTTTTGAGGTTTCATTAGAAAGAATTGAGTAACATGAGAAAAGCTCACAATTAGGGTTTGAGTATCCCAATTGGCAATCACATCTATCAAGTGCTGAACAGTTTCCTTGGCCATTACAAACTGATGTCAACTCTGATCTTACACCAAAACATGAATGAGTTTCACAATTTTGGTCAAAGTATCCAATTCCACACTCACAATGGTTAGGAGATTTACAAATTCCATTTCCACTACAGACTGTACTTTCATTAGAAGGAATTCCAAAACAAATAGGAATTGAGCAAGTGGTCCCAGTAAAACCTTGAACACATTCACAAACATCAGGAGCAATACAAACTCCATAATTGCAAATAGATGGATCCTTGGAACCATAACAAATTGATAGGTTGCAATATTGTCCAAAATAGCCAGCACTACAGAAGCAAGAATCAGGAGAAACACAAGATCCATGACAACTACAGACATTTGGTGAATTAAACAATTCTGAATAACATGAGTATTCATCACACTTGGAGCCGTTATACCCAAGAGAGCATTTACAAACATCCAAAGAAGTACATTCACCTAATCCACTGCAAACAAGTGAGTTGTTAGATAATAAGGAGAAACAATAAGGTAAATCACATTTTTCACCATAATAATCACTATTACAAGAACAATTATTGAGAGAATCACAAGAACCATGTCCACTACAAACCAAAGAAGAATTGGACGTGATTCCAAAACATGTACCAACTTCCGCTACAAACATTAGAATGATTTGATTCCGAAACATGAAGTGATGGAACAGTCCCATCCATAATAGCCATCATTACAAACACATTTATCAATTTGGGAGCAAGTACCATTCAAGAAATTACAAACACTGGGATCACTGTTAGCAACTCCAAAGCATGAGTGATTTTGGCAATTAGTACCACTATAACCATAAGAACAATCACATAAGTTTGGTCCTAAACAACTGCCCTTTCCACTGCAAACATAGGAAGAATTTGAAATAATCCCACTACAATAGGTCAAATTACAAGAACTACTAAACCATTCGCTGTGGCAGGTACAAGAATCATAATTAAAACAGTCTCCATTTCCACTACAAACAGATACGCTGGTAGAGTTAGTACTATAACATGTAGTTTGATTGGCAAGAACAAGTATTCAGAGCTAGGCATGAACCTTTGCCGCTGCATACATCAACAGAGATACTTGTACGACCAAAACATGTTGTAATATTACAGTTTGAACCAAAATATCCAGTGTCACACGTGCAAGAGGCATTGCTATTGCATTGCCCTTTCCCATTACAAACTTTTGTATCATTAGAATTAACTCCAAAACATGAAGTAACATTACAATCCAAGCCGAAATAATTAGGTTTACAACTACAAGTATTTGGATAAGTGCAGTTTCCATTCGAACTGCAAACATGGGCACTATTTGAGTTAATATTAAAGCAAATTGGATATTGACACTCTTGACCTGTATACCCGCTCAAACATGAGCAGGTATTTGGTCCAATACAAGATCCGTGACCATTACAAGCCCGTGAATCGTTAGAGGGAATTGAAAAGCATTTGGGATATTGACATTGATCCCCTGTGTATTGTAATTGACAAGAACAAGTATTATTCCCAATACAGGTACCATTCTGATAATTACAGACAGCTGACTCATTGTACATTTTCCCATAACAAATAGGAATACTACAATCAAAACCTGCCCAATTACCGTAGCATTGACAAAAATCTGGATTTGCGCAATATCCATTACCACTACACACCTTGCTATTTGTGCTTAAAGTTCCAAAGCAGATAGGATCGTTACAATCGGATCCATTATATCCGTATGTTGTATTACAAATACATGTATCCTGTTGAATGCAATTTCCTCTACCAGAGCAAACATTATCATCACTGAAATTTCTTCCGCTACATTCAAAATAACATTCAATAAGGAAAGTACTCCCTGCAGCAACATCAATAATAACGCCTCTTGTAATTTGCTTTTCTTCCAGAGAAACTCTAGTAAATGTTAATAATTCAGGTGATTTTACCTCATAGCTTAGAATCATTGTTTGTTGGAATTTGAAGAGCATAATTATCACCAAATCCCAACACCTTTCCATCTCTTGTAAGTAGGAGTGTGAGATCAGCAGCTGATGCCTTAATAATAAAGTAACCATCTGTTTTGATTTTTGTAGGATATGGAGATGATAGATCTGAAATCTTTGTTGAATTTGGTTGGAGTAGAAGCTACTGTTTGTGAATAAATCAACCTGTCATTCACATAATTTACATTTTCTAAAGGTAACCTTCCCATAAAAAAGATATCATTTTCATCATTTAAAAACATTAAACTTCTTCTACTGGCAAAACGATTAACAATATTTTCTCCAATCAAGTCTCCCATTTCAGAAATTAAATTAAATTTCGTATAACTTTGGTTCGTTAAAAAGTCCAATGTTCTCACTGTTCCATCAACCAATATTCCAGTTGTAGTTGAACCTACTGCCAACTTAATATCACTATTTTCAGTAAATACAAGTTTTGGAATAAAGTTGTAATGTTTCATGGTGTTTGCACCCCATAAAAATAAGGTTCCATTTGCTAACAAATAAGATGTATATCCAGAGCTGAAAATCTTTAGTGGAATGTTGGCAGAACCAGTAACAGTTGACAAAACACCTTTTTCGTAAACTTGTGTTGGTTTAGATGTTGGTAATCTATTCTTTTCAATACCCAACTGGCCAGCACTACCTTGGCCAAATGAGTAAACATGGCCATTTTTCGTGCTAATCATGCAATAATCATTTCCAAGCAATATCATCAGGATCTCCAGATAAATCATCTGCTGTGACAAGTATTGGTACAGCAGTTCTTCTTAGTGTGGAATTTAGTTGACCAAATGAATTCTCCCCCACAGTGTAGATACCCTTATCAACCTTCAACAGTAAGCTGGAAGATCCAATAGCTACCTTTTCAACAACATTTGATCCTATGCCAGTAACTTTGGTTAAAGTGTAATTTAAAGACAACACAGATTCATCACCAGAAAAAACATATCCCATCCAATATAAATTCCCGCTTGTATCAATAACAGAGGAAAATTTGTTAAATTTTGAAACATAGATCTTGGATGCAACCTTCTTCCAGGAATTGACTATTTGGGGTGAAGATAAGGAAATATTGTAAGTGGTCACAGTATGATTAATGTATAACTTTTCTTGTAGAGTTTCAATCATAGTAGCATTACAACACATTCTCTTTGTAATGTTTGTTTGGTTATTAAAGAGGTCATAACTTAATACTGACATGGTGGTGTTATCACATTCAACATAATCTTCACTACAATTGTAATTAGAAAGATCATAATATAGTTGTTCTGTTGTTGTGATATTGAAATCTCCAATAGTACCACCTATTTCACCACAAACTTGAATTGATCCATCTGAGGCAAGGAACTTTGAGTATGTACCAATACTCATGTGTTGTATTGGGTATGCATAGGTGAAGCTTATTTGGGTGGGAGTTGAAACAGTGCTAAGTCCTTCATACCTACTACCCAAACAGAGCTCGTTATTGTTGTTCGATCCAAAGCTGTAAACAGAGCCTGTGTCTGTATGCTGCCCAGTACCAATTTCAATAATCCTTCCTGCCCATGTTGAAGTATTAACAGGCATTGGAATAAAATGGGATACGAAGTTTCCTGTACCTAGAGCACCATAATTGTTATCCCCAAATGAATATAGTCCACCATCTGAGGTGAGAATGAGAGTATGTACTGCTGAGCTTGAAATCTGCACTTTTGTTTTATCTGTAAGATAGTCAAATTGGAGAGGTAAAAATGAATACAAAAGATCAGTTCCTAGACTTCCTTTGTGAGCTCCTGTTGCATAAAGGCTACTTGTTCCTCCCTTACATGATAAAGTACTAACATCAATAACTTTGCACACTGACTAGCAAACAAAAAAGCACAACAACAAAAAAATCGGGATGCGTGATGGAATGAGATACACTCTGATCAAAAAAATGTCATTATCTGATGAACACACCAAAATCATTTCTTCAGCTCTCTCTTCATCTGATGATGTGAGAATTGGAGAAATTATTTTTGATGCTTCTAAATATATTTCTGAAATGGGATTGGATAAATTTATTGCACAATATGTTTCAAATAACACTAGTCTGGTACATGTTGCTGTTATAGGATTCCCTTTTGATGAAGGTGTAAAAAGAAACGGAGGAAGAGTAGGATCAAAACATGCACCAACTTCATTCAGAAAGATGATACGACGTGCAGGAACTGTAGTAAATCCTGAAAATAATATTAATTGTAGTTCTCTTAGGATTGTAGATTTAGGAAATGTCGTAATTGATGATGAAACTAACCTTGAAGAGGCACACCAAAGATTAGAAGAATATGTATTTAAAGCTTTTAATATTTTACAAGCAGAAACTGTCTTTGTTATTGGAGGTGGTAATGATGAAAGCTTTTCAAACGCAAAAGGATTATTAAGACATGTTCAACAATTTGATAAAGTAGGAGTGGTAAATATAGATGCACATTTAGATGTAAGAGATTTGAAAAATGGGCTTCACCATTCTGGTTCTCCATTTAGACGTTTATTGGAAACTGATGGATTTGTTGGAAAACATTTTGTGGAGTTTGGGGCTCAGGGCACTCAATGCTCACAAACACATGCAAATTTTGTGTATGAAAAGGAGGCAAAAATTTATTGGCTTTCAAAGGACATAAAGGATGAACAATCTGCCCTACCAATATTTAAAAAAGTGATTGAAGAAGATTTCAAGAATACTGAGAAAATATTTGTGAGCTTTGATTTGGATTGTGTTTCAATGTCATGGGCAAGTGGTGTCTCTTGTCCTTCTCCACTTGGTTTAACTGCTCAAAACGCTTTGGATATTGCATTCTATTCTGGAAATAATTCAAAAGTTAAATTATTTGATTTAAGTGAATACAATCCAATAATAGAGGAATACAATACTGGAAAGTTAGTTGCAGCAATTTTTGTCCAGTTTGTACTTGGAGTAGCAAGCAAAACAAAGATTGGATCGAGTACTATTTAAATACCTTGGCAATCATTGTAAATAAAACCAAAATACTAAAGGTTGTATTGGTCTTGTTGGGTAAATGAAATCCACATTTCTAAAAGATATGTTTTCATTAATGACCTTCAACAAGACGGCTTCATTGATTTGGAAAATTCTGGAAAAATAGCAAAGGTCTGAATAAGACTCATCACTATCATCAAATAATCTCTCAATGAGTGCGTGATATGGGCCAACTTCACATGCTACAAGATACCGAATAATGAAAAATAAAAAAAAATGTTGATTAAATTGTTTAGCACAATCCTTTACAAATATAATCCCATCATCTCCTTCTTTTCCCCATCTGAGAAAGTAAACTCGGAATCTTTAATATCTGATTTAAAAATCACCAATTCATCAAATAACAACAAGAATTTTGAAAGGAATTTTTATACATTTACACAACAATCTACGGATGAGTTTATTCAATTCAATTTGAAAATAACAAAATATTATGAAATTTTACTACACTTAAACCATTTGATATTGAATAACCATTTGGCATATTTTTATTTGATACTCTCTACAACAACAAGTCTACTAATATCTTTTAGTTTTGCCATTATTATTTTAAAACATTTAATTTTTCTACAATATGAATCACTTTTTGATATTTTGTACATTATAATGGATTTGGTTATTCTCAGTTGTATTATATTTCCAATTTTTAGTTTTTCTTATAATATTATTCTATTCTTATTGAATAATTTTCCATCTCCGATTCATTACGTTTACGATTTTGTACAAAAATTATCAAAAATTGATACAGATTCTACTTCAATACATTATTTTTCTTCAGAGAGCTTGAAAATTATTAATAATAGAGGTATTGAATTGGACAAACAATTATTGGATATCAGTAAAATCCAAAGTACCAATCCTTCAACAAATCAACAAGTTTCACTCTCTCATTTACTTATTCTATTATTGAGATATCATTTTTCTATTACTACCAATACCAGTATTGAATCAAGTCAAGAAATAACCTTCCATGAAAAGAGAAATCAGTTTATTCCATTCGAAGATGTTGAAATAGCTGTAATTAGAGAAGGGATATTCGAAGATGGTCTAAAGAGTAAAGTGACTTCAAAAAATGATAAGAACGGAAACGTAATTGATGATAGAAATGTAATTATTGGTCAAAGTTGTGTCTCAAATGAATTCGTCTTGGACCCAGTTGCTTATCTTGTTTTTAGAGAAAATATTAAAAGAAAGAAAAAGATTCATGACCTCTCAGTAATTATGAAATCGCTCCATAGTAGAGAAATACTATTATTTGAAACAACAAGACCAAAATTAATGCACACAAAACAAATTTACAAGAAATTACGAGAAGTATTAAACGGCAATGTTAATAAATAAAAATTGAGTAACAATATTTAAAAAAATTTGTTATTAATTAAAACAAAAAAATGAAAGCTGTTCGTATTGCCCGTCCTTGCCTTTCATCTGCAAAGATGAATAAAATTCAAATTTTTGCATCATCACAAAGAAATATCAGCAATTTTGTTATTGACAGTACTCTCACAGAAGAACAACTCCAATTAAGAGAAAGTATTAGACAATTCGTAAAGGAAGAAATATCACCAATTGCCGCCCAAGTTGATCAAACAAACAGTGCTCCAGTCAGAGATTTGTGGAAGAAAATGGGTGATTTAGGTCTTTTGGGTATTACTATTGATCCAGAATATGGTGGTACTGGCTTAGGAGTTTTCGAACATACTCTTGCTGTTGAAGAACTTTCACGTGGTTCGGGCAGTATTGCATTGAGTTATGGTGCTCATAGTAATTTGTGTGTTGATCGTATTTTCCGTATTGGTAATAAGGAACAAAAAGAAAAGTATTTACCAAAACTTATTAGTGGAGAACATGTTGGTGCTCTTGCTATGAGTGAACCAAACTCAGGTTCCGATGTTGTTTCAATGAAAACTAGAGCTGAGAAAAAAGGTGATAAATATATTTTGAATGGTAATAAGATGTGGATTACTAATGGACCTGATGCAGATGTTTTAGTTGTTTATGCAAAAACTGATATTTCTGCTGGCTCAAAGGGTATTACTGCTTTTATTATTGAAAAGGGATTTAAAGGATTTTCTACTGCTCAAAAACTTGACAAGTGTGGTATGAGAGGAAGTAACACTTGTGAATTGGTTTTCCAAGATTGTGAAGTTCCTGTAGAAAATGTTTTGGGCAAAGTCAATGAAGGTGTTAAGGTTTTAATGTCTGGTTTGGATTATGAAAGATGTATTCTTGCTGGTGGTCCACTTGGTCTTATGGAAGGATGTATGGATGTTGTTGTACCTTATGTACATGAGAGAAAACAATTTGGTCAATCAATTGGTGAATTCCAATTAATGCAAGGTAAACTTGCTGACATGTACACCAAACTTAATGTTTGTCGTTCATATGTATACTCTGTTGCTCGTGCTTGTGATTTAAGTCCAACAAGTAAGCCATTGAGAAAGGATTGTGCTGGTGCTATTCTTTATGCAGCTGAGGGAGCAACATGGTTAGCATCCCAAGCTATCCAAACATTAGGTGGTAATGGTTACACTAAGGAATATCCAGTGGAAAGAATATGGAGAGATGCCAAGCTCTATGAAATTGGTGCTGGTACAAGTGAAATTAGAAGAATGCTTATCGGTAGAGAATTGTTCGAAGAAACTAAATAAATCAGGGGCTAATACAAACGAATTTGGCGCCATTTCAAAAACAAAAAAATGCTCAATCCGAATGATATTGAGGAACATTCCACTAGACCACTTTCTTCATCAATATTTTCTCCACTTTCCCCTACAAAGATGAGTATGAGAAAAAGTAAGAAAATAGGAAATCTTCTTAGACCAGGAACTGCAGCCAGTACTTTTTATCAAGTTTTAAACCAACCACAAACGGATCAAACCCTTCTCGGAAATTCTTCATCAAATAATATTCAAACAAATGGAAAAGGGACTTTCCTAGCTCCACAAGATGAAAATCGTATGTTATTGACTCATCTCATTATTTAGATCTTTATAGTTATTGAAATTAATTCCGATCTCCCCCTTGCAATACTAATATATTTCCACAGCTTTTATTCGACAGCATGGTTATTGGTGACATTAGTATTACACATTTTGAAGCATAATTTTAATACAATTTCAACAACAGATACTGCTATTTTCTCTGTTATAATTGTTGTTTGGACAGTAATTGAATTTCCAAGATTATTGATTGGCTATTCAGGAAATTTGAAAGAGAAAGTGCCTAGAGTTTTTGCATTCATGATTCTTTCCACTATTCAACCATTATTGTATATTTATTTCATTGTTTATCAACCTGTTGTATCTCCATTAGACTACATTATTTGTAGTATTCAGTTGCTTTTCTACATTTTGGAATATATTTTCGGAATCAGTTCTCTCAGAAATTTCACAAGAGTTAGCGGGATTAGATACAAATTGTACTTTAACAAGGATGGTACACTAGCCCTTGATGAGGAGGAAGATGTCGAAAACAAAAATTTCGTGGAACCTTTTAATATCAATACTGAAGGTGATTTTAGTGATCATTCAGAAAACTGAGTCAAATCCACCAACCATTCGTATTGTAAATCGGAAAAAAGAAGTCATCAAAAAAAATACCATCACAATGTCAAACAATTTTACCAACGATAAACTTATACACAATTTAGAGTATAATTTATCTGATTTATCTGACTTGAACAAATTACAATCTATATTAGAAATTTACTATTCTGGTAGTCTTTATGTCCATGGATCAAACAACAGTCAACAACAAATTAATATTGAAACCATGCTTCAACATTATTTTGGTTCCGATAGAGATTGTTGGAAAAAAGGTATTTTACTTTTAGCTAATAGCAGTGGAAATTCTACAATGCAACACGTTCAATGGTTTGCATTAACTCTTTTAGAGGAGAGTGTGCATCATGTTGCTTATTGGCAGAATGAAATGAAGGATGAGGAGAGACAACAAGTGGAAAATGTACTTATGGTTAATGTTCTACCAAATTATAGGGTAGGTTAATATTTTAGTATGGTCTATTTATCATAATCATCAAAAAAAATATCAGCTTTATCCTGCTTCTATTTGGAGAAAGGCTTGTAAAGTTGTTGTGGAAATTGTAAAAATGGAATGGCCACAAAGATGGCCAAACTTTTTAAATCAAGTTTTTCAAATTGGAAACAATTCTGATACAGTAGTTGTTGCTCTTACTATTTTACAAATGTTATCTGAAGAAATTTCAAGTATGAGTGGAGAGAATACCAGAGATAAAGATGATATTCCAGAAGATAGAAAAGAGGTTCTTTATCAATCTATGCTTTCTATTGTAGATGAATTGTTAACTTTTCTTTTAGGAATTTTAACATCACTTCATGATGGTTATTTTGCCACATTATTTTCAAAGATACAATCCCAACAAAATATTGATGAAACAAGTTTCAAAGGATTTTGTGAAATTGTTACTTTCTCTCTTGATTGTTTGAATCATGTACTATCATGGGTTAGTCCTATTGAGCGATATCTTCTTTCACACTCAAATCTTTTCCCTTGCATTGTGAATTATGTTAAAGTGTATTTCAATTTAATTTATTGCACTTCAGGAAATGGTATGTTCTTATTTTGGTTATGGTTTTATAAAATTTCATTAAAGAGTCAATCAAGGAAAGAATAGACGATCCAATGTACTCCATAACAACAAAGGCTTTGAGCTGTTTTAGTGAAGTTATTTCCAAATCAATCAAAACAACACAAGTAGATGATAACTATGCTAGATCGCTTGGTATTTTAATGAATAACATGTATTCAGCTATGCTTGACCTTTTATCAACTTACAGTGGTATTTTTAATTTCGAGAATGGTATGTTTACAATATTTATATTATTAAACCATTTCAGAGAATACAAAATTGAAATTAATAGAATTATTTTCAGAAGGAGAACGTGAGGAACTTATTGTAAAACTGCATTTAATGGTACAAGGATTCAGTGAATACCATTTGGGAAGAATATTTCTTGCTATGCATAATGATGATTTAGGTCATGGGTTGAATAAGCTTCAGTTAAACTTTGATATCAATGCATTTTTGGAACGTTTTTATAGATTTACAACTCTTCAATTCACTACTGATGATTATCAGACAGCAGTGGCAACTTGGCTCACTATTATAGATACAGTTACAAACTCGTTTGAAGACGTTAGTGATACAAGTTTCTATCAAACCTACCACAATTGTATTAAACTCTTAATTAGAGATGTTATAGGAAGAATTCAATTCAGAGAAATTAAGAAATATTTTTCTAATTCCCTCAAAGTTAATATTGAAAAAATTGATATCAAATATTTGGAAGATTTGGATGATACCAAAAAAGATAGCCAAAATTGCACTGATTTTTATAATCATTTAGATGTTTGTGTTGAATTAATAGGGGCTAGTATTGAAACCTTTAGAGATGAATTAGAAGTTGTAATGGAAAATTTCGAAAAAACTATTACAGATTTCAATTCTGTATTCAATAACCTTCTTCCTTCTTGCATTCAATCTCAAACACTTCCGGATAGGAAAACCTGGGATATTGTCACTATGATATTTAAAGATTTGAGAACTTTGATTTTTATCCTTACAAGATTATCAAACACATTCGTTTATGATTTTGAGAGCAAATTTAATATTACTGCCAATCTATTTACCAAAATTTTAGCTATACAAAATACTGGAATCAGAACAATATTTGATAACAATAGTCAATATGCTATGATAATTCAAAAATTAGATCCATCACCTCATTCTATTGGGTTATATAGGTTAACAGAAGAAACTTTTTCATTCCTTCAACAATACATTAGATGGATTTTCCTCTTTGGTACAAATATTAGTGCCAAAATTGTTGAGCAAGTGGAAAAGAGTGGTTCAACCTCTGATGAATTATTACAAATGCAAACTAATTATATCTCTTTAGTGACTAGTATCTGTGATAATATTGTGCAATGTCTATTAATAAGTAGTAATAGCGCAAGTTTTACATTACCATTCGATTTGACTGCTTCTTCTACCAGTCTTTTATTATTACTGTCTTCCTCACTTACTAATTTAAGTTTGAAACAACCAACAGCTACAAATCTTAATGGAATGGCCTATAAGCATTTTCTTTCTACCACTATTGAAGAATTACCTTCATTTCAATCCCTAATTCTACCAAATTTGAATCAAATGATTTCTTCTATTGCATCCAAATATCCTCCAATTTTAGAGAATGCTGAATTTATTCTTTCTAAAATATTTGTATCCATTTCTACCAGTATTTTAAGCAAAGTTAAAATAGCACCTTCTGTTTATCCTAATATGA